AGCTCTGCCTGCCTCTGCCTCCCAAGTGCTGGGATTAAAGGCATGTGCCACGAGCATTTCTTACAAAATTTCATTGTGAAGTATAGTGCTTAGCAATATTATATGCAGCATTAACTTATTAATAATATAACAAATGATAGAAAAGAAAACATGAATTCTAACCACTTTGTCCTCCTTTGGGAAAACATCCAAGGAAGCAGTATAGGGAGAGAAGAAAGAGAGAAACAAAAATGAGCCACATATTAATAAACTGATTTCAATACAACTGTTAAAATTCTCCAAAGTATTAAAATAGGTATTTGGAAAAGTAAATCCTCCACTGACAAACACATGGGTCCTAATGTATGCTGTCTAGAAGAACTGGGCCCAATTGTTTCCTAATTTTTAGAAAAGAGATTAGCAAATCTTTATCTTAAACATTTTTGGATGCCTATGTTGGGAGTACACCTAGAAGCCCAGCATTCAGGAGGGTGAGGAAGAGAATCCCAAATTGGAGATCAATCTGGACCCTTAATAACAAAACCCTTAAGATAGTAAGCACTATTTCGAAAATAAATAACAAACAAAACAAACAAAATAAAATCTTAAGAAAGTGTTGATTTGCCACATGCTGCGTTCCTATTATTGAAAATATTTTATTAAATTGCACAATGATATTAAATTTTATCAAATTACTGATAAAGTATTTGTAGAAAAAAATCTAGAAAAATCTAATAATGGGCAGTGTTTGTACTAGATAAAAATGGAAAGAAAAATGTAACTGTTTTAGCCATGACCAATCAAATCAACATTTATTTACAATATTTATTTCTATATTTATATCACAGGAAAAATGAAGTTTGTATATATTTTGGTCTTATGTATATGACAAATTTAAAGTTGGACTTTCTTTTGTTTCTTTGATTTTTTTTTTTCAAGATTGGGTGGGTCTAGTAAAAGGGTTTGGCTAACCACTTCAAGGAACAGAACTACTTCCTAGCTCAGTTTTCTTTAAACAACGTAAATTTGACCCTAATGACTTTACTTGCCATCAGTCAACACTGTGGCTGGTGGCTTGCACCAACCCTATAATGGAAAGCTGAAAGAATTCAGCAGCTGTGGGTGCTCAGCCAGCACTAACAGTCCAGCTGTTCACTCACCGGCAGCCCCTTCGAGACTGTTAAATATTGTGGTTATCACCTTAAGGGCCCATCTGAAAATTCATTCAAGTATATATTTAACAACACTAAAAGTGGAAGGGAGATCAACAAATGTATCGTGTGTATTCTCTATGTGAGACAGTTTAACTTACTTGTATTTTACTCTCATAACAAATATGCAAGATAATTATTACTCTTTGTGGTATAGCTAAGGAAATTCTTATTCAGAGAAGGTAATTGTCTTCCAAACACAGCAGACACAACACTAGCTTTACATTAAGCTACAAAATGTGTTTGTTTATGTCAGTGTCTCAATTCCATTGGAAGGGATGTTAGAATATCCTGCTTAAAACTCTGACCAAATAAAATGGGGTCAACCGGGAGTTTTGTTTTAAATTTAACTGTGATTTTTTCCAAATCAGAAAAATTTCAGGAGTTCTCAAGCCTTTCATGATTTTTACTGTTGTTGTTTCTTGAGACAGGGTCTCTTTTTATCCCAAACTGCCCTGGAACTCACTGTGCATGGGAGACTGACTTCGATTACACAGAGATTCACCTGCTTCTGCCTCCCCAGTGCTGAGATTAAAGGCATGCAACACTATGCCTGGCTCATGTTGTTTTCTAATATAACTTCATGTTATATTCTATAGATGATTAGATAGTGTGAGAAATTACTTAAGAAATACAGGGAAATTCCAAGAGTATGAACATCCTAACTGTTCAGTACTATGCTGCAGACCTAAATCAAGAAAATTCGCTTAGATTTTTCTACAAAGAGTTCTATTTGATAGATAGTAATAGCAGAGAATATGGAGAAGTTTGAAATGTACTCTTAATATTTGTTTAAACTAGTCTAGAATTTCACACTTGGTTATACTGTGTTCTGCTATGCTAGAAATACTTTAAAAATATTAAACATCAAAAAATAGGACTAACAGTTCTGGCACAGCAGAGGGTTGGATCTTCAATCAAATTGGGAAATTGCTTCAGGTGAGAATATATCTCATAGATTAAAAAGCAAGAGGCATAAACCTCAAAATTTTAAAGTGGTTTATTCCACATATTGCCTAAGAAGATGAATATTCCCCTTGTGATAAAGTTCACATATTACTTCTTTAGCATGATAGTAAATCTGGAGTTACTGTCATAGGAGCTAGCCATTGCTTAATTGTTTTGGGTTACATTTAATGACATGTAGTTCACCTTTTATTTTACTGCTTTCATTCTATCTAAAAACTCATGATGCAAAAACTAAATAAACATAGTTAACTTTTTAAAAAACAAGACTTGGCCAGACATGGTGGTGCACACCTTTAATCCTTGTACATGGGAGGGAGGCAGAGGCAGACTGATCTCTGTGGGTTGGAGGCTACATAGTGTTCTAGGCCAGATGGAGCTACAGGGAGAACCTGTCTTAAAACCAAACAAAAACAAAAACAAAAACCCCCCACAGGACTTGGATATAATAACTATTTAAAAAGTTTTGTAACCCGTAATGATACTAAAATTACATTTACTATATGACTACATAAACTTACTCGAGTTGCTTTGCAAGTGGAAACATTTATCACACTGTACACATATGCAAATCATCTTTTTCAGAACTGAGCTCATCACTATTCTACTACTGTGCAATTTATAAAAAAACAAAAGGAGGGAAGGTTATATTCATGGCATAATACACATGCGCGGGTCAGCGTTGGCACATTCTGGTGATTGCATGCTTGAGAGGGTGGTAGTTTCTGTCTGCTTTCGGCTGTGTTGTGTTCTCTGGGCACTCACGTTGTTCGACCGCAGAGACACTCGACCTCCACAGCGCGCGCAGAACTTGGTGCGACAGTAAGAGCAAAGATGGCCACATCCATCAGCGAACTTTGTCTTATGGCAGATTCCACACGTCGGAGCATCATCTTTGTGCTCGCCCTGGTAACGCCTTGCTTCTTCTCCTATTTTTCTCACTTGTTCCTTATAGCTTTCAAACTGTTGGTGCAATCTCCTGGGCAAAAGAGAAAAGGCAGTCAACTAAGTAAATGAGAGACGACAGACAAACGCAACAAATTTTCCTAAAGTGAATGAGCGCTAAGCTATTTGAACAAAAGCAAGACATGCAAAGTCACTTTTCCTACTTAATGGAAAAAGTAAGACAGGCATTGAGGTGTTTTCATAGTTCAATTTTTCCTTGATCTTGACAAGGAGTTTACACTCTGATAACTTTTGGTGGTTACCCACCAAAGTGGTTAAGGCAAACCCTTTCTCTTTAGAATGTTAACAATAAGATGAAAAATATCCCCAATTCATCAGTTCACATCATAAATTAGTTCAATCTTAAGTTGCTACAAATAGCACTATTTGAACAAAACTCTCACAGTGGCTGTTCCAAGGATGGAGGGGGGGGGATTTCTTCCCACTGTAAAACGAGCCCTGGAGCATTTGCCCTAAGCTTAGACAATATGGCCATCTCACCAGGAGAAACTCCTGGGAAATGGCTGATCAAATTCATCTGTGAATATGAACTACTTGGCTGGATTTGAGTGTTCCCCTAAACTCAGAGCACACACATGCTATTGTTAATTCGGGCAGTTAACCCGGGACTCCACACCAAACTGTGGAGCTGTACTCCCCAGACAGGGAAGCAAGTAAGTCAGGTCTGACCTCAGTAATGTGTCAGGTATGGGATTCAGTTATCTGTTTCTTTTTAAACAGCTCACAGCTCTTTAGCAGAATTTTTATCATTATTTTTGCTTTGCTAATAGATGCCTTTTCTACTTAACTCTCAAAATTAAAGCAAATGTGCATATGTTGGCATACAACACAGTTTAATATCTGACACTATCCCCAGCTAAAGGACCAGGTGATTCCATTTCATAAAAGAATAATATATGTGACATTTGATTTAATGATTGCAAAAATATCAAATTATTTTACTGATGAGTATTTGATACAGTAAATATTTTATATTTTCCATTAATTTAGGATCAGTTCATAGGGAGCAGATAGGAATGTCTATGTCAAAAGATACAAAACAGCATGGAGAATTATAAGTTTCTATTAAATAAATTGTGAGAAATGGAAGCAAAGAAATATCTCCAATCAAAGAAACAGAAATAAATTCTAAGCATGAAGAGTGCCAAGGATAAATAACTATTGTGTGATCCCTAAATGAAATCTATACTATGAGTTAAATCTACTTACAGAACCAAAACTATGGAGAAAGATAGTCTAATGAAAGAGATTAATCATAAATGTATTCTATAATGTTGAGCATGATTTGGTATGGTGCTGGTAAACTTTTCAATAAAAGATCAGCTTGTAAATATTTTAAGCTATTGGCCCACGTAGTATTTGCTACTCACCCCCACTTTCCAACAGGAAAGTGGCTATACATAATGTGTAAGTGAATGAGTGTGGCTAAGTTATAATAAAACTTTAATTTATAAAATGAGACAGTAGGCTAGAGTTGGCTATGGGCCAGTTTATCAATCCTTCATGCAGTAGCTGTACCTGGTAAGACCTAACAGTTTCAAAACCCAAACTTATTTGCATTTTTAAATTTAAATGTGGGAGTTTTATACATATAACAGGGCCCATCCAAAGAGCATCTATTTCAGGATTGTTTTGCTCTTCAGTATGTGTATGTATGAGTCAGGAAACCAAACCCATGGCCTTGTGCACACTAAACACATAGAACCAAACTGTGCTCACAGCCCTAAGGAAATCTATACAATACATGCACACAAAATCATGGCCACTCAGATGAAATATCATGTTATTTCATTTGACCATTCATAGGTAACTTAATATTTTTTAATTATACGTCATTAATATTTCTATACATGGCACCTGTCTTCAACAAACAGCAATATTACAAATGAACAACTTAGCAAATAGTTAAGAGATGTGAGTAACCTCTTGGTATTGGCCAACTTGCTTTTCACACACACACACACACACACACACATATAATATAAATATATATTTAAATGTATGTGTATAATTTTCTTAGTCCATTCTGAAGAAAACACATGAAATTTACAAATGAGTTCACACTGAAGACAAACTATCTGAAGAAAAAAAATCCCTTGACATCTACAAAACATGAAAAGTTATTCATAAACCGCTTTGAAAATAACTTGAAATGTATATTGAGCTGAAGAGGAAGCATGCAAAATCCTCATAGAAAAAAAATGAAATAGAAACAGAAATTCTAGAAAATAACATTGCAGACATCTGCCCTAGGGACATTCACTGAGTCTCTGTAACCAACAACTTCAGTTTTATTTATTGCACAATAAAACATTAAAGTTTTAGCTTGGTAGCCACCAAAAATAATTGAAATGAAATGTATTCTATCCAAACAAGTAGCAAAAGGAAATGGAGTAAGAAAAAAAATCAATCCAAATGAAGATAAATGTTTAAGAAACAGGAATGCATAAGCATAAAGAAAGCAATAAAATAGCATCTATATCACAGAATCATAGACATAATCAAACACATTAGGAACCATAAGTAGATTCTAGTACAGTATGATAATCAAACTAAGATGTTCATATCAGATATTAAAAATCTAAGCTGGGTGTGTTGGTGCATGTCTTTAATTCTACCACTTGGGAAGCAGGTGGACTTCTGTGAGTATGATGCCAGCCTGGTCTACATAGAGAGTTTCAGACCAGCCAGAACTACATAGTGAGACCTGTCCCAAAATAAATTAATAAATCAACCAATAGCCAAATGAGGCTTAGAAAAGACATATTCAAAGATAAAGATGGGCAGAATATTTGTAATAACAAAGAGGAAATTCCAGGGAAGAGCAAAAAAGCAAACACACTAGTAAATGAATAAAAACTGGCATTACATTCCTCTAAAAAAGCAGTACTAAGTCAAGCATGGTGGTACACGCCTGTTATCTTTGCATTATGAAGACTGAAATATGAGGATTGCCTAAGATCAAGGCCAGCCTGGGTTATATAGCAATACACACCTTGTCTCAAAATAACACACACACACACACACACACACATACACACGCACGTGCTCATGCACGCATGTGTGCATTACCAAAGACAAAGAAGATAACCTATTATTAAAATGTATTCATGCCAGGCGTGGTGGCACATGCCTTTAATGCCAGCACTTGGGAAGCAGAGGCAGGTGGATCTCTGTGAGTTCAAGGCCAGCCTGGTCTACATAGTGAGTTCCAGGACAGCTGGGGCTACTGAGAGACCCTGTCTCAAAAAAGACCCACCCCCCAAAATAAAAGCATTCATTTAGGGAATGGAGAGATGGTTCAGCAGTTAAGAGCCTGACTGCTCTTGCAGAGGACCTGGGTTCAATTCCCAACACGCACATGGTGACTATGAACCATCCTCAACTCCAGTACCAGGGGAATCCGACGCCCTCTTTTGACCTCTGTGGCATTGCACAACATGGGTGCACTCACATACAGGCAGGCAATACACTCATACACATAAAATAAAAATAATAAATAAATATTTAAAAAGTATTCATTTAAAGTCAAGCCGGGTGTGGTGGCGCACACCTTTAATCCCAGCACTCGGGAGGCAGAGGCAAGAAGACATTTTAACATGTCCATATGTTTAACCCAATGGGAAAATAAAATAAAATATATCACGAGAGAAGACATTTTAACATGTCCATATGTTTAACCCAATGGGAAAATAAAATAAAATATATCACGAGAGAAGACATTTTAACATGTCCATATGTTTAACCCAATGGGAAAATAAAATACGCATATAAGTATGAATTACATTACAAATGTACTGACATCAGTTTATCCATCAAGTAGATTCAACTGGCTTGCTAACCTCGATGTTCAGCTCTCTCACTCTTTCCTCCTTTCTCTGTGCTTAAAACACATTGTTTAAATGCATATGTGAAACTTTTCAAAGAATATACAAAGTTCTGGGCCACAAAAATACTAGAAACACTTCATGGCTTAAACTGAGGTGGAGAAAGTACATTATATGTGTTTTATATTTCTTTATACACATATTTGTGTAAATGAATCATTTCCTATTCAAGGGAAAAGATCACTTCTATCTCATCAAATATTATTAACAAATGAGCACTATATAGAATTGAAAAGAAAAGTATATTTAATACTGGAACCAAGAAAATGGTAGTGAAACAATCAACAGCATACATTTTTTTGTATCTGATGCTTTAATACTTTAATCCATATCTGTTATGTGACAATATTTTATTAATAATAAATGAAAATACATATTTTTATTATATGGTATTACAATAAATGTGAGACTTCAAATGTGTTGTGAAATTTATTCATACACTTGAATTTTGGAATTAACATATTATTATTGATTACCAGGTTTGTCAAAATCACATACTAAATTATCTATGCAGAAAATGGAAAGCATTATCAAATATACAATGTTACAAAAATTAAAACATCAAAAGTTCGGATATTCTCTATGGATATGATTTTTCCCATTGCTTCAATATATCACATCCTTGCTTGTTTTAATAAGTGTGCACTGAACTCAAGAAATTCCAAGATTCCAGTTGTGAAGAAGCTTGTTCAATAATTAACAGCATAAACTTTAAGGGAAATAAAGAACATCTACTAAAATTAAGGGTCCATTAGAAGATGTTGGTAAGAATGGAATACAGAGTAATCTGGAATTAGCACAGGTTCTCACTAATTCATTTCTCTCTTTGTCTTTTTTTAAAAATGTTTTTTAATTTATTTTTATGTATTTGCTTGTATTGCCTGTATGTGTCTAAGTGCACCCATATCGTACAATGCCTCTGGAGGACAGAAGAGGGCACCGGGTCCCCTGGAACTGGAGTTACGAACAATTGTTAGCTTCCATGTGGGCACTGGAATTTGAATCCGGGTCTTCTGCAAGAACAGCCAGTGTTCTTAACCAATGAGCCATTTCTACATCCCCTCACCATTTTTTTTTTAACTTTTCCATCTCCACAGAGATCAGAAGCTAGACAATAACTCTGTCT